ATTTTAAAATAATAAACATTTTTGAATTTATCTTCAAATTAAGGATTTAGAAACAATTTCTATTATTACATATTTTATCCTTAAAAAAGAAATAAAAATAAAGAACCATTTTAAGAATAATGATAGATATGACCAAAATTTGAGACTAAAATTTGAGATTAAAATTTAACTAATGTCACGTTATTTAAAATATTAAAAAGTAAATAATGTATTATTTAATGATTATTTTTTTTTAGCACATGCGATATTGTAGAAATAATTGTGGCTCTATAATTTCAAATTTTTCTTGAATTAATTATTATTTTTTATTTTTTAAGATATACAATTTTTTTTTACTTTACAAATATATTTTTTTACTTTAACCTTATTATTATCTACAATATTGCATGTCCTAAAAAATAATCATTAAGTAATATAAGATCCATTTTTTAATATTTTAAATAACATGACATTAATTAAATTTTAATATCAAATTTTAGTCCTAAATTTTAGTTCTATTTATCATTGTTCTTAAAAAAGTTTTTTATTTTTATTTCTTTTTTAAGGATAAAATATGTAATAATAGAAAATACATTAAAATTTTCTAAATCCTTAATTAAAAGATAAATTGAAAAATATTTATTATTTTAAGATAGATAAAATACATTTTTAAAATTTTTACACGTAAAAGAATTTTTTTAATTTTAATTTGATAAAAATAATATTATAATCTTAACTAATTAACAAATTAAGCTAACAATCTTAATTATTTATCATTAGTTTTGATTAATTTTAATTTAGTCCATTTAAGGACTAGTTAGTAAATTGTATTGTGGAATGGTGTGAATATAAAATTTAATTGAACATTTTGTAAAGTTTTTGGGGGTTAAAGTGTAATTTTTCAAAATTATATATACCACATAATTGGTGCCACATCAGCATCCCATAGGATTCCATTAAAAACACTAACGAAAATTTGTTAGATAAATGAATTTGAAATGATTTTTAAAATTTATAGTTGATTTTGAATGAAACTAAACTTTTTAGATTAAAATAAAAAGAGAGTAATAGTTAATGGATGAAAAATTAAATTTAGCCATTTCCCATGGTTCTTCGAATTTAAGAAACGTGGCTTGGCATGTCAAATCAAGTAGTAGAATTACATTTCGGTCATTTTTATTAACTGAACTAAGAATATTTTATGTTATTTTTTAATATTTAAAGTTAAGATAACGTAAGATTTTTTCTCATTTTTATTCGGTCAAGACACTTGACCGAATAAACTAGTACTTCATAATTCGGTCAATTCACTTGACCAATTTGTCTTGACATCAAATTGTTTTGGTCAAGTGACTTGACCAAAGTAAAATTGGACTGAATTATTTTTTTTTTGTTTTCCGAACAAATTTGATATTCGGTCATTTTATTTGCCCGAATTATTTATTTTTTCGGTCAAAAAAATTAATCGACCAAAGTATTCTGACCGAAATGATCAACTTTCTAGTAGTGATATACACATGATTGTCAAAGCTTTTTAGTACCTTAATTAAGAGAAGAAGAGAAGAAAACACGGGGTGTAATTAATTACTGTTATTTTGGTAATAAAGCCTCAAGATGAACTTGTAAGCAAGGAGATATTGTTTTGTA